ATAAGTGTGAGTTGGAAACTTTGAGAAATAAAGTGTGGGAAAGTCTCACATTGATTAGAAAAATGAAGACTTGAGCATTTATAAGTGAGAGAACCTACACACATATCACCTTAAGATTTTGAGTGAATTAGATTGGTTGGTGTCTCATTCACTCCCAACTTTTAGAGATTTTTCTGATTGTTATAGATGTTTTTCTGCTGTAACACCTCCGATGCAGCTCCGCATACCGATCTTTATGCTTTACTACATTTTCATGGAGCATGCATGGACATTTAACATTTAACATTAAATAAAATATGACATAAATGAGGCATTGCCATTTGAGAAATAGATGTGTTTGCCATTGTCATCGGTGCTGTTTTATCCTAGGAAAGACATCCTTTGGCCTTCTTAAGTAAAATGATGTGCGGCAGCTTGCAAGCTTCATCAGTATACATTTAAAAGATGTACCCCATCACAGAAGCTTCCAAGAAATATAGTGAGTATTTTAATGGAAAACATTTTCACATATTCACTAATCAGAAGAGTTTGAAAAATCTTCTAGTCTAAACAATTCAAACACCAGAACAATAAAAATGAATTTCAAAGGTACAAGGTTCTAGTTTTGAGACTTTATACAAACCTAGCTAGGAAGACAAATCAAGGGGTAAATGTACTTATGGTTGTTCAAAAAATCCTTAAAATTGAACTGAATTACAAAACCAAACCGAACCATTACTAAATAATTGAACCATTACCTCTGACTAATAAATTGAACCATTGTTTGTTAAACGGTTCAATAACTGAACCGAACCTCAGTTTACCAAACTAAAGCTTACCTAACCGAACCAAACTTTTAGTTTGACAAAAAGATAGTTCAGCATCTTAGGATGTACAGAATTTCATTATTATACTAATAAAGAAATAAAAAATATGAAATTCAACTAACTTATTTATCATATAAAATGCATATTTAATGCAGAAAATTTTATAAATTGTATACATACATAAATGAAAAAAAAAATACATAAATGAGAGATATGTAAACAAACTCACATATAATAATACGTAAATGAGAGAATTGCAATGAAACCTCAGATATATAATGCACGAAAAAGATAATGCATGAAAGTTATTAGAGTTTGATATGATTACAGCTAACATATTTATGGAAATAAGAGAAAGACAATAATGCACATTAGAAAAGCATCTTGAACGTACACTACAAGAAAAAGAAATATTAGTCAAGAGTATCTATGAGGTGTTTTAAAATTAATATTTTCGTGGGGATAAATCTCTCGCAATTGGCAAATTAGAAAACAAAATAAAAAAAATTAATGGTGTGGGGAAACCCATCGCAATTTTGAATTTTAAAAATTTCAACCATTTTACATTTTGTGAGGGGTAAAACAACACAAAATTAAATAGTAGCATTTGCTTGGGGTAATCCCTCGCAAATTGCCACTAATGGCCAGACTATCAAAATTACTTTTATAATTTGAGAGGAGCTTCTCCTGCAACCCCTCGCAATTGACGCTATGGTATAGTCAAATCAGTTAGAACATGTGCAGGCGTGCAGACTTTAAAAACATAAAATGCATTTTGCGAGGGGCACTCCATGACAATTTGTAACAGTTGGATTATCCTTCTCTTTCTTCCACATTTTTTGCCCCTTCCATATTTTTCCTTCCCTTTCATATTTTTACAGCAATATTTTCTCCTTCTATTTCTTCAATATTTCATTGTTTCTTCATCTTCTCTCCTTAAGGTAATTTTTTATATGATTTTATATTTAATTTATATTATTTTGTTTATATAACATATTTATTAATAATTTTAATTTTCGTTTTTTTATTTCAGGTTTTATTGTGTTCATCTTTAAATTTACAGTGTTCATCTTCAAATTTACAGTGTTCATCTTCAAATTTACAGTATTCATCTTCAAGGTACCAAAAAATTATGTTTTGTTTATTTATTAAAATGACTTTGTGATATAAGTATTGTGAAATTTTTCTGTTAAATATTATTTTTTAAACACAGTTTTTATATGATATAACTGTTTAAATATAACTAGAAATTAATATGAAATTTTTATTTCATTATATTTATTATATTAATTTTATTTTAATATATTTAATTAATACAATTATTATTACTGATTTTTATTTTATGAATATTAATTTTTTTAAAAATATTTTTACGATTTACTGGGGGATAAACTCCTAGGAAAATGTCCATGGGGGCTTAATCTGTTGCAAAAACAAAAACATTTATATTTTGCCACAGGCTAAACCCCACACAAAAAGTCTGACACACTGTCTCCTATCATGCGCGCCTACGTGTGCAACATGCAAACTATATAATCCATGTTGCACTTAGCGAGAGGTATAACCCCTTGCACTTAGGGAGAGGTATAACCCCTGACAAATTTCACACGTGTGATACCCCTCAGAAATTTATTTGTGATCCCCAGTTTTTTTAGGGGAGCAGTCCCCTCGCAAAATTTGCATTTACGAGGAGTTTTTGCCATTTGTGAGGGGTTAAACCCCTGACAAATAACGTTTTTTTTGTAGTGATAATTTTTATAAAAAAAATAATTCCCTTTATAATGCAAGAAAGCAAAAGTGTAAATGAAACACTTATTATGAAATAGAGAGAGTAATTAAGATCCACACATACAATAATATTTAGATTAGAGAAAATTAGAGATACATTAATACTATAAAATAATTTTCCGTTATCCAATGAACAACATGCATAATCTTTTAAAAGATTAAGATAATTTGACATATTGATGATTTTTTGGTGGTTTATTATTGGACCACCGTGTAAATTTTTTTTACACTAATGATGCATTTCCATCACACTCTCTAGACTAAAACATGAGAGATTAATTGATATGTCCGGTAAATATAAAAATAATTTATATCATGTATTACAACCATTTATAAGTGATAAATATACAAATTTAAGTAATAGTATGAAAATTTTTATAGTATCCATGCATATTAATTAAATTCAAAAGATAAAAATTTATGTTACAGAAACATAATTTACATACCACTGATTCAAAAGTATGAGATCATTCAAAACTTCAATCAATACTCACGTCTTCCAACATCCTTTCTTTGGTCTGATATTTACAAAAACGTCAAGATTCTTATACAATATTGTATGATCTTAGCGTCTTTATAAATATTAGACTAGAGAAAGTTGTTACCTTGATGTCTTCAACTATCGCGAGAACTATCAAATCTAAGGAGGAATTGTGAATATTTTCTTGTGTGTATTTCACTTGTTGTGATGTAACTCATTCTTTTTATACTAGTTGTGTAGTAGTTTCATTGAGAAGAAAAAAAGCATAATTTTAGGCATACTTTATGATTGCCTTGACCAAGTACAGCATATTAATAGGTGACTCGCATGTAAATTAGTAGAAAAAAAATCAGAAACATTATGGATGAGTCAGCAGAATATCTAATAATAAATTATGGATGAGTCAGCAGAATATCTAATAATAAATTATGGATGGTCCATAAAATACCTCATTCTTTTATTTTGACAATTAAGTTTTCTGAAATGAAAATTATTCAATCTTGCAAGATTCTAAAATAGAATCATTAACAACTAATTTGTTTTATTCGTCCTCTTGTCTTTTCTCCTTCTTCATCAACCTTCATCAATTTTAAAGCCAAAAAAAAAACCTCAATAATAAAACTAAATTCATAAGTTTTAATTAAACTAAAACATAATGAAATATTAAAAAAAAAAAAAGATATTACAATATTGATAAGTGACCACTATAAATTTTATTTTATTTTATAGCTATAATCATTTGATATTGAATGTTTATAAAATTGAACGATAAATTATCAAAACACTAAATACTTTTTATATTTATTGATCTTCTCGTTCTTCATCTTCATTGTCACTCTCGTACACATTATTATAAAGTCAAAAAAAAAAAATATCCAATATTCAAGATTAAATGATGACAACAACACAGTCTAAGTTAGAGTAGTGTACTTTGTTTTTGGTTATCGATAAAAGTTACAAGGACACATTTGATTGAGTTTCTCTACTTTGAACCAAAATCATTAATGGTGCTTTTTTTTTTGTTGGATTAACAATAATATTAGTACTAAGGAGTTTTTCACAGATAAATTCAAAAGTTACAACTCGTAGTTTCGAGTAAAATTAAATTCTACTTTAGAATAAGCGAACACTTTAAAATCATACAAAATCAATTTTACATCTTTAAAATTGTTTTTGACTCTTCTGAACCAATCGTGCAATTAGACTTTTAAGCTATGTTTACATGGAAGGAACAGAATGGAACTAACTTTTAGAATAAAATGGTTTGTTGATTTGAGATGTCGAAAGCTTATATACATTGAGTACAACATTTTTATGGTATTCAAGTTAATAGGATAAGATTTGTATATCTAAAAAATGTACAAATAATTGAGATACACAACAAAAAAGATAATTGTCTATGTATGGTGATGGTAACAACTGTAACAAAAAATGATCCTCTTGATTTGAGATACACAACAATGAAAACACCAAAAGAAACAAAGAATGTATGTATATTATTACAATTTATAATTATAAATGAGAGAATCCACAAAGTTGAGTCTTTAAGTTTATAGAGCTTCTTTCTTCAATCTACATGTTGACCACAACCTGCAATAAGACAGGGGTTTAATAACAGCTTATTGTATGTATTAATAATTCATAATTGCTTATTAACTTAACTAAACAAGCTCACCTGATGACGATAGACGACACCATGCCGTGTTCTTCTTTCAGGCCAACATAAACAACAATGATAAATTTCGCAAAAAGAAGTTGATCACCTTCTGCTGAGAATAATAAGACACTGGTATTTGTTTCGTGAAATCATGTGCACATGGCTTACTAAGTAAACCCCAATGATTCAACATGTTGAATGGCGAGATTACGGATAATCTCCTAGTACTTGTGAATTAATTATCGAGAAAAACTTGATTCTGATTTTCTCACATTTTTCTTTTATATTTCTCAGCTAGATTTTTGAGCGAAGATCTCTGACGAAAAGCCATATACTTATCAAGAGTAGTTCCAGCCCATTTTTGACAAAAGCTTTCATCAGTTGGGATTAGAGATCCTAGAGGAAATGGTCCTTTGGGGGCTTTCTTTAGCAAAACCAAGAACCTATGGCGAGGGCGAATTCTCTGTTCCAAAGACAAGCTTAGGTACATAGGATATTTGGTCAGAGATTGCGCCTCATTGTGAAGTTCATTCACCAAGTACAAATACTTCGGCTTTAGATTAGCCTCCAATGACAGCGATAGCACCTGTGGGCACAATAGTCAACAAGAACGATAAACTATTAGTCACATTATAAGAATCAGTCCGGAAATCTAAGTTGAACTGTGATTGTACGAAGGATTGAATACAGAAAACGAAGGCGAAAATGACCTGTGTAAGGCTAGTCAAGATTTTCAAGATGTCGGCATTTTTCATTCCTATGCTCCTTAGGAAATTTATTCTTGGAAGCAATCCGTCATCAATGCTGTAATGGAGAAGCTGGGGGTGTTTTGTCACCATCTTCACAATGCTCTCTTTTGACGCACCCAACTCTTTGGTAAAGAACAAAAGTCGAGTATTCCACGAAATGTCAATACTCTGGACTAGAACTCGAGGGCTCAGTTGAATAACTTTACCCAAAATTTTTTCATTGATTCCAACTTCCTCAACTAAATATCTCACTGTTGGTTTCAGCGATTTCTCAACACTGTAAGAAAAAAGGGACGGAGTAACAGCAATAAGTTGCCCTATTTTGGAACTAGGTACACCCAAGCTCATCAAGAAAGCTACATGAGTCTTCAAATTGTTCTCCACTGCATACCCGATAATTTGTGGTTGCCGCAAAAGGATTCTTTTTATATCTTTATGTTTAACTCCAAGACTCATTAAGTAATCTAACTTTTCCCGTGCAGAAGATACATTGACTTGAAACGCCGACTTGTGCTTCCCGTAAATTTGGACCAATTGTGATTCACTGATTCCAAACGTGCTTAAATAATCAAGAAGCGGTAACCATTTCACATCCAAATCAATCTGTTCAGACAACTCTGGATATCTTTCCCCCACAGAACTTCTACCAAACTGCAATTCAAAACAAACAACAAAAGATCGAGAATATAAGATTCTGTTACCGTAGCCCAAATACATTAAATAACAGCTTGTTGTATCATCAATTACTACCTTTGGACTCTTATTTTGTTGTAAGTACGCTATTCTCCGACTTTTGGACAATTTACTACTTTGTCCATTGTTAACCAATTTCCCACCTGATTCAAGACAAACAACATCATGCTTCTATAAAGAAGCAACTCACACAAGTCGACACCAATAATATTTTGAGAAAGTTAAATAATTGAACGAAACAACCATGTGTCGTCTGATATACACCATCGATGTGAAGTAGATGATACATAATTCAACTTTCCAAATAAAATCAAAGCTCTTAAGACCTGTCACCACCTATTTAAAATCAACTTTCCACCTACAGGTATGATTACGTTCAATTCATCTATTCTTTCAAATTATTATTGACAATCAGCGTATCTGGTGTCAGTGTCTGTGCTTCATAGCTCTTAATTATAACTTTTTTCAAGCATACCTGCAAGAGTCTTTGATTTCTTGTCTTTAGCATCAAAATCAGCAGACTCAGCAAATTCCTCCTGAATAAAATACAAATTCCATAACAAAAAATTAAAATTATTTAGATATGAAATAGTAAAATTTCATTGCAAAACTCACATCAGAGAAGAAATCATCATCATCATCATCATCATCATCGTCTTCTTCTTGGTACATTTCATCATCAGAGTCGTAGGGTGAGAGGGGTTTTCCATAGATTAATCTTCGGTTGGTTTTGATAATGTTAGGATTAGAATGAGTACAAAACACAGTGAAGGTGGTTCGGTTGGAGAAGGAAGAATAAAAAGGAGATTTGGGGGAAGAATTTGGAAGAAAGATGAAAGGATTGTAAGAGTGGAGAGTTAAAAATTTAGACATTTTGAATTTGAAAGAATATACTGAAAAACCCTAATCTATTATATCTTATAAATATATAAACATAAAAGTTCATATTAATTACACTATAATCTTTTTTATTAAAAACTTAAATTTGATTAATTATAAAGGTAAAAGAGTTTTATCAACTATTAATCTTTTTATATTGATTTGATATTTAATGATATTGGTGTGACACAATTAGATTTTTATTGGTATTTTATATTATTTTTATTTTATATTTATTTAATACAATTATTAGTTGCACAATATATTTCATTTGAAAACTGAAAAAACAATTTTAAATTTCTTGAAGTCAGCACTCACGCGATATTGAATTAATATCACATTTTCTCAAGATCCATTCAATCAATTTTAATCATATTAATACGTGTCATACATGTCAAATCCTGGACCTTTCCTTTCTTAGTATTCTCATCATACCATGTAAGTTTTTTTGCTTCTCACGCATACGAATTTGGTTTTTTGTTATTGTATCATATATTGATAGTTTTATTTGTTGTTTTTGTATCTTTCTCCTATCACAGTCTCACTCTCTTCTTCGCACAATCGATGTATGTTGGGCCGTTCAACATACTGTTGATTTCTTCCCACACGTCAAGAGTAACTCCTCCATAGAATACTTTGTCACCGCCGACTCAGATCTATGTATTATTACTGCTTGGAAGATTTCCAAATTCAGATCTATGCCCTAAGATTTTTCATTTTTTCATATACTTTTGTAGTTTTAATTTTGGTTTTTAGGACTAGGTTATAATCGAATTGGAGTTTTTGTTTGATAGGAATTGAAGAAGAGGAAGTGACGTTTGAAGTTCCATAGATCTTTAATTGGCTTCCCTTTGAAATGTTTTCATTTTCTTGGACGTGAGAATCTGACAGGTTTAGTGCTAAATTTATATTTCCATTTTCTTGGGTTTTCTGTTTTTTCTTGGGTTTTATGTTCTATCTAATTGAATTGAATCGATTTATTGACTCTTAACTAATTCTCATGTTTGTTGTTGCAGAGACTATTCCGAAGAAAATAATTGATTTGTTGAATGTTGAAAGACTTATTAGAGAAAATGTGGCAAGTCATCTGCAGGTATACATTATTGCTTTTGTGGCCACCATAAATGTTTTCTTTATTCTTAATTGAAAATTTATATTTATGAATTAACAATGATCAAAGTTTTAAGAGCTTTACATTCTCTTGAAGAACATATCACACATGATATGGATGTTTCTTTTAATTAGTGATACTGATTTTATAGATATTTGATTTTCACTTTAATCACATTTAAAATATCATCTATGGATGATTGTAACGTACCATCAATGTAAAATATTTTACAGCATAACAATTAATCTCTATTATACACCTTGTTGCACTGTAAATTTCGTCCCTAATTTTTTAGTTGCATTATCTTATCATATTTTGTTATTTGGTCACAATCATTAATATATATCTTCATTCATCACATTTTGCATCATTAGTCGTATTTGAGTTGACCAAAAGTCAGTTTAAATTGAAGTTTGCATAGTTTTGTAGTTGAAAAATACCTGGTATTTCACTTCATGCATTTTTATCTCTTTACTTGTTCCTTGCATTGCTCCAAGTTGTTTATATATCGATAATATTAATATTTTGGTTTTACAGACAGACCGCTAAAAGTGATCTGATATCGTGCAAAAAATTAGCGAGAAAGATATTTCAAGTTTTCACCTTTTAATGATCACTTTATGAATCTGTGTTTCGCGTAGATTATGACGGTATACTCGCTTCATTTTTTCGGTACAGTTCGAAGTCTCGTTTTTAACTATAAACATTTGTTCAGCCTGATATTTTTATTCTCATTTTATTTCGATTTTGACCATTTGAATATTTTTTCTTTAATCTTTGAGACATGTAATTTATTTTAATATGTTCATTTTATTTTTTCGGATAGATTTTTATATATTTTTTTATTATTTTTAGTCATTTTAAATCTCTATTTTTTATTCAGAAAAATAGTGAACGGAAGTTGTAAAATCAGAAAGGAATTCCTTCTTCATCTTGCTATTTAAACATCTTCTTTATTCTTTGTTTTAACAATACAAACAGTAACTCACCTTCTTACTTCAATTTCCCCCTCACAACCTTCTCCCAACCTTCATCACCTTCCAGCCTTCCGCGAGCGTTTACTCAACCTTCAAATCTTTGTTCCTTCTCAATCGCCAAAGTAATACTCCCTCTCCACGCGGCCATTCCATTTGTTCAACTTCTGTCACAATAGCCGCTTATCTCCAACAACAATCCGCTCACGCTCGTGACCCAGCCACCACAAGAATTTTCACTTTTCCTTTATTCCTATCTGTGATACGGTGGGAGAGAACTGACTGTTTCTTTGGAATGCTGGTTTGCGTTTTGCGTTTGTTTTCGCAAAATGTCACGGTAAGCAAGAGTCGCCACCGTCTTTTATTTTATCCAACAAGGAAAGGAAAAAGCACAGAAAAAATTCCTTTTTCGAGATATTTCTCGGGTTCGGGAGGTAGATTATAAAAAGGGAAGGTGTTAGCACCCTTTCTATCTGTGGTTATCCACGGGCTCTTAGGTACTTGCTCATATTGTTTTCAAAATTTTGCTTTCTTTGTGATTGTGGGTTTGAAAAAAGTCTTTGTTTGAAAAGGAGTGTAAGTGTGAAAATTTTGTTTTGTTTTGAAAGAGCAAGTATCTAAGAACCATCTACCTACTCTAAAAAGGAATCGTTCTATGCTATCTTCCTTTAGACAATGCTATCCCACTATTAGTGAGTAGGTAAGACCGTCGTTGGAGTTTAAGGGTCAATTCGAATTTAGGGACTTACGGTCACCAAAACAATGTTAGGACGCCTTAGCAGTAACCCTAATGTCTTAGATAATTTATTTTGAGGCAACAATATCCGAGGCAACCTTTTCGAGGCGACTATGATCTTTAGACGAGAGGGCGATCTCTAAAACAACCTATACTCAATGACCGCGTACGAAGGCAACCAAGTGGGGTGTACCCTAAGAGTGCGCATGTGAGAGTGTGTTGTTTTCAGTTATTTTGTCTTTGTACATGTCAGTGGTTATCTATGTTGATTTTAGGTTAAACATCCATTCTTGTCATGCATCCCCTATTATCAAACATCTAACAGTTATATTTTGTGGAAATTAAATTGCGGAAATTTAACTAACTATTACAAGGCGTCGGGTATTTACATCGCCAAAAGCAACCCTTTGAAATTTAAATGCGGAAAATAAATAAAGCGATAGAAATATTTAAAGTCCTATTAAGCTATTACATTTTGGAAACAAATACAATATTGAATAAAATGGAACGCGTGCGGGAAATTAAATCGAATGCGAGTTCTAGGGTTTTGACCCTTTGTTATTAAAGAAAAGATTTTTTGGTTATTTTTGACTTTTAAGAAATAAATTAAACTAAGTTAATTATTAAATTAATAAATTAATTAATTAATAAAAATATTTTTGGGTTTTTGATATTTAAAGGAATAAAATGAAATTAATCAATGTTAGTAAAAAAACCTAATTATGTCTAAGTTAATTTTAATTGTTTATAAAATATATTAAAGTTATCCTAATTAAAACTAAATTAATTAATTGATTTGTTAATAAAAAGAAAATACTAAAATTTAAATTAGTAAAGAAAATATTTTTTTGGTTTTTTATTTTATAGAGAAAATTATTTGATTGGTTAGTTAATAATAAAAATAATAACAATAAATAATTAAACAAAATAAAAAAAGAAATAGAAAGAGTTAGGGGTGTGGGCCTGATTAGTGGTGTTTGAGTTGCAATTCCATGGCCCAATAACATGCTGGCCTTATTGACTTTGTGAGATTCCCTGTGTGCCCTTTGACTTGGTCCCATGATAGACCATCATCCTGGATCACCAGATCTGGCCTTGGGCCATCTGGCGCTTTGATATGTGAGGATGTATGATAGGCCATGCGCTTGGATTTGCACTGGATAACCTGTAGAAAAATAACAAATTCAATTTGGAGGACCTGGGATTCGAACCCAAGTCCTGTTGGTCATTGGATGTACACGCCCACCACTCAGCCACTTTGTTCTGTTTGTTAATATATTAAGTAATAATGATAATAAGAGATAATGGGTTAATATGCCAGAAAAAATAAAAAAAGGCGTGCGTGTTTGAATGGTTCACTCAGAGGGAGACACGTTGTCGTCCCTGACCTTCAAACCCTATAAATTTACCTGCGGATTTAGATTCACAGCTAAATGCGTAGACGCACTCTAAAATCCATTCCAGTCCATGAAAATCAATTCCAAGCACATGGTTGAGTTCGTCTGGGCATCCTGAATAGACCTATACCCTTCTTGAGTCTTGAATTATCTTCAAAATTATATTTGGATGGGTCATTTCTCATAAAGTGTGAGAAAGTTATGCTTGGTCAAAGTTGAGTTGACTTTTCCTACAAAATCCTAATTTAGCAACTTTTGAGTTTTGATGAATTTTGAGCAATCCTTGATGAATCATGATCGACCCTTGATCAAATGATGAAATATAATTCAAAATGAGAATGTTGACAAAAAATCTTGAAGTTTGACTGTTTATAGGTCACAGTTGACTTTTGCCCTAGCATAGTCGATTTTTGGACCCTTTGAGCAATTGACTGAGCAAACTTCCTCTGCAAGGCTTGATACTTGACATGGATGACCTTGAGAACATGTTAGGACATTAGGGAGAACTTGAGGTCATTTGGACTCAAGGATCTTGATGCAACACAAAACCCTAATTTGGGGTTGACTGCCTTAGGAGATGACTTGTCTGACCCACTCTTGAGCAAACTTGAGCAACTTGGAGATTTTTCTTGCAATGTTTTGGGAAATATGAGAGGGAAAATTTTAGGGTACAACAGCTGCCCCTGTTCAATCTTCTTAAACCTGAGGATATAGATTGGCTTTCGTGCCTTTCGTGATCCGAAAGAGGAAGATGATTGAACACTAGAGTGCCCAAA